CTCTCTTAGTGTTCTGAACATCTAACTCCTCCACATTGGATTCATTGATTATATTCAAAGTAGTTTTGGAGAAAACTTCATTTTCGTCCTCATTTTCTAATTGGGAAAACCCAACAAAAAGGACTGACAGAAGATTTCAGGATAGATGAGTGCTAGTGCCAACAATAGAAAATGCATCCCAGCTTTCCATCAGTGCTCTAACCCTTGGAAAATACTGCCTTTCTAGTAGCAAAAAGATCAAGTGCTGGGAATTGATGTTGAGGTTTTTTTTCTTTTATAGCAGAAGAAAATATCAACGAGCAGAAGAAGTGATCTTTCCTACTTCTTATACTCATTTTTGCCAACTTCTACAACTTTTTTTGGTATGAAAAATTTAATAATTGACTACTGACATTATTTCCTTACTATACTCCAGAGAGTACATTTTAATATCTAAATAAACAACACCTTAAGCCTGGCACGGTGCCAGATGAAAACACCAGTCTTTGTTCAAAGCATGATCAGGAAGTCAAGAAGGGGCATGAACACCTCACAATAGTAGATTGTTATTTAACTTTTGTCGACGTAATGAGTTTACATTGTCAACGTAATGACTCCAGTGCTGACAGGTGTAAGACTTGAGAACAGACATGATTTTTACAGGCACTCCTCAGGGCTTCAGGCCTCCTGACACCAGGAAACTGCACGACCACAAAGCGGGCCCTGAAACTACGCTAGCTTTTCAAGTGAGCGGCCCCCTTAGGACTCAGCTTGTGTTACCACTGAGCAATGACCCACTGCCATCCCCACTCGGCTCTCTGTCTACTTGGGTGCTGCAGCGAGGAAGCAGCAATCTAACACACATGGATCAAATTTCTTCATCACCAGATGAGACTTCCTCTCTACTTGACTACCAAATGACCACTTTTGCCCCCAGCCCTGTTACTCAGACCCCCAGCCAGGAAGGAATGTTAAAAAGAAAAAAGAAAAAACAAAGAAAGAAAAAAAAACATATGAAAGAGGTGCAGTGCAGTGCTGAAGGATGGTGAAATATCTGGTCACATCAACTGCTGGTCTAATTATCAGTCCTACACAAAGATACATTTTAAATAAACAAGAAAGGAAAACAAGCTCTGAACAGTGCATGAGACAGTGACTGATCATAAAGTTGGAAATTACAAGTGTTGCTTGTCATCAGAAAGTTTCTCTGAAACAGGATCTTTTACCTCAGGGAATTTCTTCTTTTTGAGATACTCTGTGACTGCAGGATCGAAGTATTTAGCATAGCCTTCATTGAGACTGTAGATATTTCCCTTCTTTTTGATTTTCACATCCCTGTCCACCAAAATGAATTCTCCAATTGCCTAACAATAAGAAGGAAAAACAATTTGTTAATGTAAATTCCTTTTTTATTTACAAACCAAGGCAAAAAACAATCATACACACAATTTAGGAAAAATTTACTACAGCTACCACATTCTTTAATAATCAGTACCTGCAAAAAAGTGGTATTTGCATTCTAGATGCAAAGTGTTTTGTTTATCCACAAAACACAGACAGAGCATGAATCCTAGTTTCATGCAAGCTTCTTCATACTACCATTTCCAGCTCTTTATCACTTTCCTATGCCAAAAAATGCTGTCACCTTTAAATTTATTTAGCCCTCCACTCTTTTGCTAGACTTACAATAAAAGTACAGCTCTGAGGAGTCTGGAAACTGAGAGTGCTGGTTGTAGCAATGCATAAGTATCTTCAAATAGCTGTAGATACTAATAAATTCCAGTTCATCTTAGCTTGGGCTAACTGGAAGACTGAAGTCAAGAGACCCAATCTCTGTAACCAATGGCTGGTCTGTTTAGTTTTCACTAAAGTAAATTTCCAAGTTAGTGCTAAAATTAAACAAAATAACATGCACGCATGCTCAAAGGTAAGTCTGCTATCTGAATATAGACAAAAATACGTGCAGCTACTTAAGCTGTTACTTAACAGAGAGCACCAAGTCATATTTCCTGCTGCTTGACCACTGCCGGTTCAAAAAATTTAACACTGGCAGGTGGCACAGCCTGACTAACTGGTTACAAAAAAATGTGTCACTAAAGCAAAGTACTTTCTGCTATGATCAATATGACTTCTATGTTAAAACTCATTTGGTCAATGCATGCTAGAACGTCAAATGCACCCACACACGTCACTTACTCTTTTACACATCATGGTGGGATCTGAAAACACAGAAGAAGGTTAAATATTTCTGCTTCTCTGGTTTATTAAGGTCCTAGCTCTAAGGAAAAGACAAACAAGTCTTAAAGGGCATTCTGCATGGCAGAAAACAGCTCATTTTAAATATCACATGATTTGGCACACGCTGTGTATTTGCTTCACTGACTCAGCTGTCTTCCCATTGTTGAATCACACATAGCACTGCTGCAGCGGGCAAGCAGAATGCAAAAATCTTTTGACATTATTGCTGATGGGTTATTAAGTGTACTTCATTTCTCCACATTAGCTTGAAAATCGTTCCTTTGTGTGAGTTTTTGGGGGACAAGCAGTTCTTATAGACAGTACCTAATTACCCCTAATAAAGAAACAAAGAAACAGAAGACATTCTTACCGGATCCAACATGAAACAGTTGACGCCTCCAGCAGAAGTGGCCAGTACCAGCATTGTGGCACTCCCATAGAGAGCATAACCAGCGGCGACAAGATTATGCCCAGGTTGTAAAGCATCTTTCCCAGAAGGTTCATCAGGGGACACCTAGAATAAGAAGGACCATACTCAACTTTACTTCATTTCTACAGCTGGTACACAACTGGACCTCTGGAATAGGGACTGTCTTCTACTCCACATCCATGATGAGATGGCACAAATGCTTCCATGATCCACAACTAAGATTCTTACTGGATGCACTAATACAAATTATATGGAGGAGACAAACACATTGATCCAGAAATGCTCTTGTATAAGCCTAGTTGGAATGCAGGAAGCAGGAAAGGATTAAGGAGATAATAGAGAGCTATGCACCTCCTTGTAGGTGATGACGAACACAGCTCGGAGGAAAACTCCAAGGCACTGTTGAAAAGCAAGCAATGAAACATGACTCACAGAGTTCACAGCTGATCAAAAGTACTTGGGACTTTTTTCATTTTCATTTGCTTCATACAAAAATGAAGTTGAAAATAGTTACTTTGGGATGTATGACAACATACAAAAGAGGGACAGTTGGGTGTGTTTTATCTGACTTATTTTTTCCCCCATCTCGTGACATGTAAGTAATTCCGGTATTTCAAGCTCCTTCAGACAAAGTTTCTGCCTTTCAGAGTGAATTAGACACTTCAAATGCACATGCCATGTTTCAGCCCTGGTGTGTGTTTGAAGCCTGTCCTCAGGCTAACAGGACTATTAGTACAGAGAATAAGAAAACCTGAAAGCACATTCCCCAAGTAGGTGACAACCATGTCACATTTATTTTGTCTCAACACAAATATTCATGAAATCTAAGACCTGATTTGTTTGTAAGGGGTAATTCCTTTAGATGGCTAATTAAATATCAGCCAAGCTGCCATGTACATACAGGTTCGTCATCCTCTAAGAGAGTAATGGAAATCCCTCACGCATGTTTTATACAAGTGTCCATGAAATAGCAGATTTAACTTAAAGCTGGTCCTGAAAGTCTCTTTCACAAAAAGGTTTAGTTAGATTTTATTAAGTCTTCACATGCAATTATATTTCATCAAAAGGTGCACAATAATAATTTCTCCTATCCTACATGAAAGCATTTTACCTTTCTATAGATGCCAAAGATGGTCCCAATGGAAACAAGACAGTCAATGTTTGACGAGCCATCTAGAGGGTCTACGCAGACTATGTATTTACCCTAGAAAATACAAAAGAGGAAACAACTAGACTAGTGACAGTATTTACCCACTTTCCCCAAATAAAAATACTTCAGTAGGTAAATTTTCTCAGAGACTTTCAAAGCAACGTAAACTAAAAGGCTTTTATAGATTATGAAGGAACAGAATTAAAATGTTAGAAATTATTTGGCCCAGATTTCATTCTTGATTACAACTGTGTGATTTGTGCCACAGCAGAAGCTGCAAAATCTTTAAAGTAAGTAATAGATGGTGAGACAGGAAAGG